TGTGGGTATGTGTGTGTGTGTGTGTGTGTGTGAGAGAGAGAGAGAGAGAGAGACCAGGCCACCAGCTGATGTCTGCTGACCTATGAGGAAAGCTCATAAAAACAGAAAAAGGTGGATTTAAAAAGATAAATCAGCTTTTTAGTTCATTTTTAATTCTTCCTTGTTTTTTTCATTATTGAGTTTGAACGCTTTAGTTCGACTAGGGTAAATGGTGTGTGTGTGTGTGTGTGTGTGTGTGGACCATGACAGTGTTGTGTGTGGGTGTATGTGTGTGTGTGTGGACCATGACAGTGCCCAGACATTACATAATTCGGTTGCAGCTCAGACGTTTTTCTTCATCTGTTAAAATTGGGTCCGTTTGTTAAAACGATGGAGATCTATAGCATGAAGGCACATTGCTGCAGTCATTTCCATTGTCCTCTGTTATCTCTGTGTAATGTGTGGTTCAGTGACACTTAGCTTTTTAATAATGGTACATTCAGACCAGATGGGTGACCATTCTGCTCTGGCAGCAGGTGGTGGTCCAACACGGTACCAAGACACTTTATGTTGGCTTTTCCTTTCGTTTATCACCCGTCTGTCTGTGTACGTGTTCAGTCATGTTTGTGTGTGAGAGGGAGCTCTACCAGTTAACACCAAGTAATAACATTTCCTTATTCTGCAGAAAATAGACCCAGAGCTGGACGAGTTCTTCCAGACTCTGAGGAAGAAAGTGAAGATCGGCATCGTGGGTGGATCCGACTACTCTAAGATAGCAGAGCAGCTTGGGGAGGGGGACGATGGTGAGCTGTCCACTTCTTGTCTAAAAGCCACAGGCAGTTTATTCACCGCACTGCATATATTTCTCCCAGTTCAATCACACTGCATATTATGACACTGTTTATCGTGATATCTACTTAATCTGACATGAGTCCACAGTGGAACGGAGAGAATTACCAGGTAATAATTTAGGATTTAGGCCATAGGCTAGACTCAAACTTGTTGCCTCGAGCAACCTGCCTTGCAGCTTCGTAGAATAACACAGTAACAACACAGACAGGCTGAAAACCAGTCTATTGGTAAATATTAGGCTACAACTGGTATTTAAAGGTGAACTATGCCAAATGTGCTAATGGTGAATCATGAATGAATCATGATGCACTCAGTCGCAGCTGATGTCAAAAAGGTTGGGTTTTCCTCTATAATAATAACAGAAAGGTCTAGACCTTACTTTGGGAAGCATTCTGAGATAACCTCTGTTTGGCACTATTGAAAACATTTTAAACTCCAGATGGCTTGAACATGTAATAGAAACTCTTTGATTTGATTTAATTTATTTATTCTTTCAAGCAGAGTGCTAACATTCTTACCCCACACCCACAATGTTCCATCTAATTAATCATTAAACCTGTTCTTGCATATATCTTGATTGACACATACCTTTATATTTATGTTTAAACTCGTCAATTCTATTACTATTTTTTATGTCTACACTTAAATTATTCCATAGTTTTACCCCATTTATGGAAATACAAAATCTTTTTTTGGTTGTACGTATAGCATGAATTTTTAAATTTAACTGACCCCTTAAATTGTATCCCCCTTCCCTTTCATTCCCCATATGGTAGTGTCATCAGCAAACAAAACCACTTTCACTAAATCAGAAACCTTGCAAACCTCTTCATGTTGTTATAACATTATACCATGGTCGGTTTCATCACACCAACAGTGTTACACCCTATATGAATGAAATAATCACTTAGCAGTTTATTCTAACATTATGTACTGGCACATTTGTGAGGCACATTTTATTGCAATTTGTTATCACACTCCTCAGCAATAATTTTATCATCAGATTCTACATGCCCTCAACTTGCTGTATTATACCTTTATTACTGATGAGGTAATGAAAACTGCTTTTAAATCAGGCAACGTTACAGACTGGTGAGTGCTGTTGGCAGAGAGCGTGCAGGCCAAAGTGATGGGAAGGTCAAACAGATTCAACCTGACTTTTCCAGACACACACAGTTACACACACTGTAATCTGCTACCTGGTACGTACAGCTGTTCTGTTTTAGAGAACCAGACCAGTACATTTAGCCACATTTCACCTGTCTCCTCTCTTGTAGTGATACACAAGTTTGACTATGTGTTTGCTGAGAACGGGACAGTACAGTACAAAGATGGGAAACTCCTCTCAAAACATGTAAGTGAATATACAGACACATGTTTCACACCCTCCCACTGTGTCACATTTATCTTGGGAACAGTACATGTTCTTCATGTATGTTCCTTTGAAAGAGCTGCTGATTTAATAGTGAACTCCAAATGTTTGGGATCATGGGAAAAGGCTCACGTTGTAATATATGCACAGGTCATACTGAATGTGATGACAAGTATGTGTTCTCATTAATAAACAGTACAAATGAGATTAAGCTATAATTCAGAAGCCGGCTGTGTTTGGTTGACCATAACTGAAGAATGGAAAAAAAGCTAAATGAGCCTTTTGCTTCAGACTGCGTAAAGAAAAACTGGTTTCTCCAGATCAGGTCTGTTGTTTTACAAACTGTATGTAGTTAAAAGAAGCAAAAGCTATTAAAAGTCTACTAACATCGGTGAATCCACCTACTTTTCCTGCATTTTGACCAACTTTATTGATACACAACTGACACATCACAAGCAGTGGAACAGAGTACAGGCTGTTATTTATTTATTAATGAAGTGCATTTTCATCGGGACAGGCCATTCAGAACCAGCTTGGGGAGGAGCTGCTACAGGACCTAATCAACTTCTGCCTCAGCTACATGGGGCTCATCAAGCTGCCAAAGAAAAGGTGAGACCTTGACCAAGCCCACACGATGGTTACAGGTCATTCACACATAGGCATTCAAAAGACTGGGTCAGCGACAGCTCATTGTGAATGAGACCTGGCTTCACAGCCCTGTGCCAAATGCGATGCATTTGAAAAGTGCTCAGCTACGCTACAGGGGAAAGTTGAGAAAAGTTTAAATTTATAATTTATTATCCTCTGACACAGTGGAAGTGACAGCCAGGTGAGAACAACCTACAATTGGCTTGATTCCCGTGGAAACAGAAACAGAGTTGTTTTCACTTCTGCTCCACTATGGAAGGGAACTTTTTAAAATGTAAACGAAATGGAGGAAAAGCTGGCCATCGTAGTCTCCTAATTCACTATGACATGTCTTTACCGAGTTACCAGGACATAAAAAAGAAGGGCGACATGTGGAGACACAAAACAACTGTCCAGTTACAGCAGAGATAACACACTGCTCAACACTACACACTCCGGCCACTTTCTTTGTGTGTCCATATGTGTGTGTTAAGCCAACAGTTTCTTAAACCCCCCAGGTGGACACACACGCCTTTGAGCTGCTTTCCTGGTATGCAGAAATGCATAACCTGTGTGTCTTGTCTCTGTGTTGAAATAATGCTACAACTTTAACAGGTCAAATAACTGTTTGTAGACTTGGGTCAAAAAATCGCAGCCGTCTCGGTTAATTTAACTAGTTGCAGGTCTTTTACCCACACATCCCTTTCTGCCTGCAGGGGGACGTTCATTGAGTTCAGGAATGGAATGCTGAACATTTCGCCCATCGGTCGAAGCTGCACGTATGAGGAACGAATTGAATTCTCTGAAATCGACAAGGTAAAATATGAACCACATCTCCGTGCATGGTGCACACAGAACATCTTGTTTGTTACATTTATTTATCACTAAGTCCTGGAGGTGGACCTGGTCCTGAGGTTTTCAGACAGTGATTTAATCAAGCAGATTACCGAGGACCAAGCCTGATGTGCTCTGTGGGTCAACGTTTCATTCTTCTGCTATCTGCACCACCCTTCTGTGTGAGTGCTGGTCCTGGATTATGGCAGATAACATCAAATCATGTGTATACTGTACTGCACTCAGTCGTGGCTGGCTGCTGATAATGTTCAAACTCAACGTTGTACAAGTAGCAGTTCAGTCTGTACAGGAGTTTTTCCATTAACCTAGTGAAGTGTGGCACGCCGTCACAGGTTCTGCGTCAACCCTGGAGGCTATGCTTGGTGATGGTTAAGGGAAGTACGGGGTGTGCAGCTCATTCGGTTCCAATAGTGTAAACGCAGCATAAGAGCATCAGCCATTTTGCTTAACACTAAAATATAAACCTGTTAGAGCTTTATTAACCTGCACAGGAGCCAGATTTATCAGCTAAGCTAAACAAACTACATTTTACACATCGGTCACTGACAGTCACGGTGAACTCTGTCTCTTGCTGTCTGTTTCATTAAATGTGCTCAGTTACACAGACAGGGAGAGGTCAAACAATGCTGAGCTTTCAGCACAGTTTAACACTCTGCCCATTGATGGCTCACAGATCTGGGCAGTACATATGGAGGAAGCAGCAGAGGAGGAGAGGTTTAGCACTTCAGCAGCCTGCAGCCATGTATACAGCTGGATCCTCAGCTACATTCACACATAAAATACTGTGCAGTCAGAACATATGAGTCAACTGACATGACAAATTGCACACAGTGAATTTATTTGTGAACACAGCAGATGATAGTTATGACCAAGGATAATCACAGCCAGAGTGGAAAGTTAATCCACATTATGTGTGTAGCAACAAGGTTTTGAGTCAAAGTCTCTGATTTGTCTTTTTCTACAGAGAGAGAAGATCAGGGAGAAATTTGTTGCAGCTCTGAAAGAGGAGTTTGCTGGGAAGGGACTACGGTTCACTAAAGGTGAGAATGTCAAAAACCCATTTACAGAGAATCTTGTTGCAGCTGCTGTTTAAGATCAAGAACAAGGGAGAAAGCATGTGCGCTCACAAACAAACAACATCCAGTAATACTCTACCCACTGACATTAGCTGGGACTGAGCAGGAAATTACATTTTGGAAATATCACATGACAGATGAGTCATCTCCTCCAGGCAGAACACAGCAGAGCCAGCTGGCAAAGGAAGCATGTGCGTTTGTCAGTCAGCTGCCTCCAAACGCGGAAAACTGTGACACTTTACTGGCGTCACTGTCTCCAGCAGACTAACAGTCGACTCTGATTACACACTCGGTAGAAGACTGAAATCTGTGTCACTGGCCCAGGGCTCAGTACGGTATAATACATCCAGAGTAAATCTGCCTTATGTTATCTTACATGCATGTGGCTTCAGTG